AGATTTGGTTCACAAACCTTTGATATATCCTTTTGTATCTTGTTATTGCTTTGTTTTCTCAATAAAAAAAAGTAATTACATTGTTCAAAAACTTAATATAATATTTTTTCCAATCGCACTTTTAATTTTCAAATAATTGCTTATTTCTTGTTAAGCACAAAACTATGCAATGGGCTATCTTTGCTGTGCCCACCACGAATATCAAAACCCGGTTCTTAGCGTTGTGAGCCCTCATACGTACCGCTGAGCCACTGTGAGGCATTTAAAATAAAAGCACATCGTAAATATTACATGCATCTCTATTTGAATACATTTCTGGTGAACAGGCAAAATTAGGCCATTTTTACTCTAGCCTAAAAATATCTTTATATGAACCATAGGAAATAATCTTACATAAAACATGTTCTCAAGTTATTCTCTTAAATCATGATGAAAAGCAAAAGTTCCTTACAAAATAGTTCTTTTGGAAATAACGTTCATTAAGCGTCCTCAATTACACGAAAATTATTAACAAAACAATAGTTTTTTACTCATGTATAGTGTAAGCACTTGTAAATCTTTACATTTTTACTGCGTGAGACACGAACTAATTTGAAAAACAAAGACAAGAATGTGGTTTAGAGCCACACAATGGCCTAAAATATAAATTTATTGTTGCTATACTTGAAAGGCGTGTATTTTTGGAGTATATGCACGAAATATATCATCATAATTTATATAGTTGGACAGTATAATACCTATGTAATAGTTCTAAACCCATTAGAATGTCATACGGTAAATTTTACCAAATAGTATTAGTTTTAAGAAACTAAAATAACAATGCAAATTTATTAATAAAATAAATTTTCGTTGACCTATCCATTAATTTCGGGTAAGACTTGACGTGTAACGTGAATGCAATGGGTCTAGGAAAACGTGCTGAACCTGTCATATCTTGCGTGCTGAACTTTCATCTTACATCATGTAGAAATGATAAATTCTATCCATAAAGTTCTTCTGATATCATAAGTTTTCAATAGAATGAAGATGCTCTTTCTGTATGAATATCATACGCACGCGAGACGTGCGCGCAATGTGCACAAATAAAAAACATAATTACGTCCAAGATGTTATGAATTTTTATTTCAAGAAAATCCAGATTATGGCAATTAATTTCGGTTTGAATAAATTCGGATCTTTTCATACTATTTCCGGGTATTAGTTTTTTTTCCTTTATCAGGCTTAGCCATAGGTTATCAAAATCACTCAGAAAAAGTGGAGTAGAACAGTGGATAGATTCACCATAAGCAAAGATTTCTTTATAAAAGTGACTGAAAAAGTACCAAACATGAAGGTTTCTGCACGGCGTAAAAATCCATTATATAGAAAATACAATACATCTTTCTAGGATTACCGCTCACAACCTTTTAAATGAAGTTAATCAATAAATATGCTAACTTATTTACCTTCAGAAGGGAATCTTTTTTCATCATTAGGTATTGTGAAGTCAGTTAAACTATGTGTAAATATCCTTTATCTAGGTTTACTTAGTTGAATATAAGCTATTGCAAAGGGTATCGAGGTTTATAAATAGTCATACATATCATAATTTCTTTGTAAATTTTGCAAGATAGATCAGGTTCAATGTTCGTTATAAAGTTCGCTGTTTATCAATGTAGAGTATTCATAATTTTAACTATGACGCAATAGACAAAAAATAATAATTCAAGATATTTTCCAGTTGCACGTAATTTAAAATCTGATCTAATAAATAAAATAAAATGAATCGTTACAAAGTAAAAAATAGTCAATAGTTAACACTGTCGCGACGAAATTTTGCTCTTCCTTCAAGATATATAATTGTGGGCACGTTTGCATACATATATTTGGAGCGAAAGTGTAAAATTTGTTTAACTTATTTAGAAATATAAATTTTCACATTCGCGTGGATTTATATAATTATTGGAATGTGCCAATTTACTTATTTATTACTCTTCTTACAAAATATTCAACAACTTTCTGTAAATTCAATCATCTTGCAATAAATCTTTTGATGGATAGTGTGGCTAGTTCTATGAAAAGATTCTGAGATATGGACAATCTTGTATACATTTTGATTACTTTCACCTTTAAAAATTTCAACGGACGCAACAGTCGTGGAGGCGTTAAGCAGTCTATGAGAGTAATTCACACATTGAGATATACAGAAGGCTAAGTAAGTTATATTCAAACGAATTTCGACCTCACCGTGCCGTTACAGCTCATTTAGTCAAGCCTGATCATGCTCTATCTTACAACCGTACATCTTAACAATAGCCCTGAAGCGTAGTTTCCATTATAAAAAGCTCTATCCTAAATCTGTCATGTCCAAATAACAAAATCCATCCCTAAGTAATTTCCATAATCCGTTTTTATACGAGGACGACGTTTTCAACAGTCCACTCGTATAGAAACCCATAAACCGTGCGTTTGGCTACTTCATCGTTTAGAATAACATGAATACCAGTTTCGTGCTCCAGCTACTTGAGATATGGTATTCATGTTATTCTAAACGATGAAGTAGCTGATTTTTCCAAGCCCGTTCCCTTGGCTGTGGTTTCGCTAGATAGTAGATAGGGACATGTTATTGTTGAACGTGAGATATATCTGAAAACCTTATCTCGGTAAACCATGTCCTGTTGATTTTTTTCAGATAAAAACACTTCTTAATTATTTTGTGTACTGTTATCTGGGGCATGTGGGTGGATTTTGTCACCGGCCTTTGTGTTCGTAGATTCTCACCTGTTACAGGCGCCACAATTTGTTTTCCACATCTGAGATGCGATTTGTTTCAGGTCCTTTTTTAGGTGGTCTTGTTGCACCAACTTAATCCATATTCTTTTATTTTACACTATCATAAAGTACGAGAGATATCCCTAGCTTAGAAATTCTAAACTCGTCATAACCTTCCGAAAAAGCGATCAATGTTCGGTTGCATCATACAATCTAAGAAACATCACACAATGTCAAAATGTAATTCTGACACAATCCATTACACTGCAACTCTAAATCGGCTGTGGTTGTTATATGGTTTTCTTATTTACAGAGACATCTCAAAAGTAAATAGACATCATGATGTTTATTCAATAGTCATTTAATTAAGAAAGGCATACAACTACTCCCATGGCCAAGTCAGTCACCTGACATGAACCCCGTCGAGCATGTCTGGGCCATACTTGCTCGAGCAGTTCCTGAAAACCAGCGTCCCGTGGAGAGCTACTTGATGTTTTGTGTGCAGCCTGGGTCAAGATCCTACAAGAGAAAATTGCAGAACTCATCGATTCCATGCCAGAATGAGTCAAAGTACTGAAAAAATGCTAGTGGCAAATCAACTAAGTACTGATGCACGATTTGTAAACATTTTTGTCAAGTTGATAATGTGAGATATATGACTATTGAAAAAAATCATGGTGTCTATTTACTTTTGAGCTGTCTGTCTCTGTACTGCTCTTAGAACAACTTCTTCCATTGTTGATTGCCCAACAGTGTCACTTCAGTTATGAAGAGCTTCTACCAATTATGTTGAATGCACTTTTAGACCACAGATCTTGATAGACTTTCCACAGACCCTCCATTGTACATGGATTTTGGCTGGGTGGGTTTTTCCACTTCTGTTGAAAAAAAATTGAAGTTTCCTTCTTTGAAATGTGGTGACCTTTAGCTGTACATCATTTAATAATCTCACTATAAAAATACTTCTCATAAAGCATAAGTGATGGTATTGCGTTTTCGAATATTTGAAAATTTGCTCTAAACCAAATATGTAAGTGCCACATATGTTGCCTGTGGGGCAAGGGCTAACATCTTCAGTTACATTATATTGCTTTAAAATGTACATATTTTTTCAAATAAATTATGATTAACTTTCTGTATTACAACACTCTTCTTGTTTTTTTACCTTTCTAGGAAGTCTATTAGAATATTGACATGAACTTGAATGTTAATAAAAATTTGTTGGAAAGGTAAAAAAGCTTACCTTTATGTTTATTTTGCTCATGTTTTATTGATAAAAGTATATTATGTCCCTCAGTATGTCAGTAGAAAGTTTACAGACTTACAACACTAAAATGTGGGGTTTGATTACCCATAACAGACAGAATGCAGATAACCTGTTGTGCAGGTTTGTTATGTAACAAACAAACTATAGTATACTTTTTATTGTTTATCTTCTATATATATATAATTAATTTTAAAACCAACCTCACTCATTAAAAAAAATCAAAAACTGTTAAAGTTGCAGGCTAGGTTTCTTAAGTTACTTAGTTCAATCTAAATGTAAGTGTGGCTGATAATATGCAAAGAACTTTATTTGGCTAATGAACTCTAAATGGTTACACCAAGAGCTGTTAGATGGAAAAAGCTAGAAAATACCAGATAAGTATTTAAAATAAAAATCATAGTTTTATCATTTTTGTTAAAATTTACTGGGAAATGAATATTTTGGACATATTAAGCCTATTTTATTATCTATAAAGAGTATTGTAATTTTAGTTTTATAGATCTTTATAGTTAAATTTATATCAAACTGTTCAGATTGGCTTAAGGAACTTCAAGAATCTTTCCAAATTGTTTTATCTTTAAAAAAAGCCAAAGATTTTTTGACTTATTGAGTTTACAGATTATTTTTAGTCATCTATTGCAGGAAGAGAGCCATAACTGTATCATGTTCACTGACATTCATTTTTTTTCAGTGGGCTTAGCACTCATCAAAATGAATTTGCTTTCCAAAATATACCTGTGTAAAACCTTATGTGTTCTACAGACTTCTTTATAAAATTGGTGAAAGCTTAATTTTTTGTTTTGTTTTCCTTTACAGAAATACCAATTTAAAGATGTCTTTAAACAAATATTTTATAGTAAGTCATAGGTACAGAAATTAATTTTAAAGTACTTCTAACGTTTTTCTGAAACCTTTAGTATTAAGACTAACCATTAGGTCTTACTTTCACCATTCTGAAAGTGTACTTCTTTTCTTATGATAGCAGTTTGTCAGCATCTTGGTCAAACTTGGCTACAGAAACTTCAGGTACAGTATCAGCTGTTCGGACAGTAAAAGCTGAGAGAAGAATGCAAGCTAAGCTAAAACAGGAGGGTCTGGAAATTCCTGAGGAGGAACTTGCTAAACTTACCCCAGCTCAACAGAGGGCACTACAAGCAGAAAAACGAGCAGCTTGGAGGCAAGCAAGGTACAGTAATACAGAAACATAATAAGCATATTTGTTTCAGTCAAGTATTGTTGCCTTGAATATGTGCACTTACACATAATTCCGAGTAAAAATTATTTTATGGATTTACTTAACAGTTCTCTTAACATCTTCAATTCCAAGATTACACAAAAGCCCTCCAGAAATGAACTCACTGTAATACAGAAGTTGTTATTCAGAGTTATTTTAAATCTGATTAGCATGTCATCCAATGAAACTTTAGATTTGTTTTTTCTATTGCATAAACTTTCTATTTGTAAATTACAGTTTATATATATATCTATCTGAAATGCATTTATAATGTGAAAAAATTATAAATTTTATAGAAATGATTAATAGTAAAGAAAGAATAATTATGTGGTCAGTATTTCAACTAAACAACCTTCATCAGTGGGATCATTTGGCTGAAATGTTGATTAGATGATTATTTTTATCCTGCAGCAACATTTATTATGTCTGTGCTTTTCAGAAAGATTTCATTTGTTGATGAATTAGAATTTGACTTTGATTTGAGTTCTTGATAGCCAAAGTTTCTCTAATTTGTAAATATTCTGTGTCATTGGAACTACATATTATACTGAAGTCCTTTTCATCTACAGTCCCGTCTTGGTCTAGAAGTCTGTAGATGTTTGACGAATTACTGGAACTAGACCAAGAATGTGATGAGACTGCAGATGACAAGAACTTCCATGTAATAGGAAGTTCAAACATCAAACAAGACTTAAAAATTATAGAAACTTTGACTATCAAGAAACTCAAATCAAAGTTGTATCTTCTGATTTTTTCCCCCCCACTGGAAATGTCATATCAGAGTTTTAAGATTTACAGAAATGTCTTTGTTGGAATACATTCATTATGTTATTGTAGCTGTCTTCTAACACCTTGTAGTGTATTAAGAGTATAAGTGATGGCATAATTCCATAATTTATAGATCTGTGTTAAGAAATAGTTCACTTACAGTAATATAACCATACTTGTTTTTTTATAACCATACTTCCATTTCAACAGCTGCATGATGATAAAAGTATATTCCATATATTTTAATAATATGGTGAAAGTTTTGTTTACAACTGTGCTTAGAAATAAAGAACTTAAGATGAAGGCTTTTAGTTGGTATTGAGGGTTGACTACTACTATGTATGAACTAAGACTTTAAGAAGTGCATATAATAATTGCTTGTTTTATTTTATCTGGAGTTTCATTATATTTGAAGAAATTGATCTGAAGTTTATTTGATCTTAGATTGAAATCACTAGAAGAGGATGCATTTCGAGCTCAAATGGTAATAACACGAGCTAAGAAGATGGCTGAAGCAATGGAAATAAGATCAGTGTCACCTGCCTTGTCAAATATAAAGCCTGATATTAATGATCAGAATAAAGAAGGTATGTTTTTATTAAAATCTTTCAAAAAATTGTACATGAATTGCTTTCAGTACTGGAGTGCAGAAAGGCTGAAAGTTTAATTAAAATGGTTTAGACTAGACCAAGTTAAGGGGAATTGGGCTTTTTTTTAAGGTAATGTAACAATACAGGATCACAACCCAAAGGTTAAGATCATGCTGTGAGGCACAAACTTTCCTTCAGTGTAAGCATTCTATGCTTCCTTTTTACAATGACAGTTCAACCAGTAATAATGATAAAAATATTATGACTATATAAAGAAACAGGGTTTGATCCTTGCATTGGATGCACTAAATATAGCTCATTGTGCAGCTTTGCAGTTAAAACAAACAAACAATAAGAAAATGTGCAATGGAAGTGAAGTACATTCTTAAATGCATTTATTCGCTGTCGTTTTTCATTTATAAGCACTAGACATTAAAAGCAACTTTGTAGACTAATTATCATAACTATAAGTGGTTCTTTCCACATCATTGTTTGTATTAGAAATCTTTTCATCACTTTTTACAAAATGATTTAATTCTATTAATTGAAATACATCTCTATACTTACAAATTGATTAGCTTCCAAGCTTTCACTCATTATTTGACTGAGCCACAATAAACAAATAAACTTAGGAAACTGAACAACGATATTTTGGCTATCCATGTCCCTCCTCAGGGGTTCTTGAATACATTCTTGCATAAAATGCTGTGTAATTATTGCATAGTAACACTAACATTATAAATACAAGTTACCACATTTTTTGTGCTACACAATCTGATGACCAACTGATGACTTGGTACCAAAGTTATAATACAGTTTCAAGTAAAATAAAATTTACTGAATGAGCAGATGAAGGGAATTTCAGTGTTATAATTTTTAAAACGTGCTGAAGGTCATTACAAGCTACATTTTAATATAAATTATAGGATATATAAAATTCATGGCATATTCTGCTGTTGCAAGTATTCTGAACATTGTTTCTGTACCCAGTAAATGCAAACATTAAATGTTTACATATTCTAATTAAGTATATTTCTTAAAACAGTTACGGCCAATCTTGGCCTAATGGTTAGTGTGCCTGGACTATGAATCTACAGGTTCCTGATTCACACCCACTGGCACAAAACATACTCTTTACTTCAGGGCCATTAATGCAATTTAAGAGTTGTAGCCAAATTCCACTGTCTGGTCATACAAGAATAACTTAAGAGCTGGGTGTGAGTGCTCTTGTTCAGCTACCTTCCCTGTAGCCTATTAATTCAAAATTAGGGACAGCTATGTGCAGATAGATCTTTATGTAGCTTTGAGCAAGACCTTTAAAATAAATTGTAATGCATTTTGGCAGCTGATATATGTAGAAAAGTAAGTGTTTATTTGCTTTCCTTTTTTTATGAATACTCTGGTGTTATGGTTAATAGCAGTTAAACATGACTGAAAGGTTTCAAAAAGAAACATATAGAAGAGGTAGGGAAGTGTGCAAAATAAAATAGACAGGAATAACTATGTGTAGAAGTAATCATTTTGTTAATTATTTTTTGTTGTTGTTGTTTGTTTCACTTTTGTAGACCTCTCCACAAAATTTGAACCAGAAACATACAAAGGACATGAAGAACTGTTATTTCACACTAACGGAAATGAAAAGGTGTGATTATATATGATTGTGTACTAAGTGAATTTGAATGTGTTTCATCATATTAAAGTCTGTAAAATAATTTCTGTTAAACTGGCATAGTATAAGACAAAACAAATGGCATAAATTATAGTGATAACTTTTTTATGATCCTGATTATTATTGAAACACATTTATTGCTGATACTATAAGACATAAATTTTATAAATAATATTTTTTCATGTGATATTTAGTTATTTGCTTAAAATGCACTAATGTTTACTGTTTCCAAATTAATAATGATAGTTCTCCATAAATGATGCTTAATAGTAAGGAAAGTTATCTCATTGAACTGGGAAGAGCATCTTTCCATTAAATGAGGGAGTCTTATTAAACAGAGAGAATAATTCTGTCATTAATGGGAAAGAAAGTATTTACATTATTTAGAGAGAAAAGTATTCCCTCTATATTATAGGGAAGTTCTTTCATTAAACAAAAAAAAAGAAGAGGTTTTTCTATAAATATGGAAGGAAGTCACCTCATTAAGTAGAGCTTAACACCATAAAAAGGTAGGAAACAAGAATGAGAAAATTAATAAATAATTCTTAAACTGATTCTTTCCTCAAGGGATGGTAGTTTAAATAAAGATGCTGCAACCTGCTCTTAAGTAGAACATGATTGTTTCTGTGGTGAAAATGCTAAATACTCTTGAATGGTTTGTTATGAAAGCTGTAAAATGGAGCATTGTTTGTGAGGATTTTTATTTTTTTTACTTTGACTACGTCCCTGTAGCTGTAGCTTATTTCTACAGTTAAGTCGTATATACTCATTAAAAGCACTTTTGGCACTATCACCCTTATTCTTACTTTGGTTTAATAAAACTTATTTCTAGGAATAGTATTTAAATGTGTTTTAATTTCCTCACAGATGGAAACAAATGATGGAAAAGTGTTATCTCTAGAATTTAAAACAGAAGAAAATGGCCATGCTGAAAATGGTAATATTTTTTTCTCTAATCTTTTCACTACATTTTCAAGTAGTTTATAGGTGGAATCTTTTTTCTTTTTTTTTAAGATTGTAAATTTCAGATGAAAAAAGGATACCATTTACATAATGGATGCTGAAAAGTTATAAGTGGTTTTAATAAGAAACATTAAAAGTTACAATGTATCTGTAGCTTAATTTGCCATTATTAGGCACACATGAGCAGAAGAGCTTATATTACGCACTTAACAACTTGAGGAGTTTTCTTTGAGGAATTTCATATATTACACCATAAATACCATTAATAATGATTTTACTGATTAAAAACAAAGCAAATTATATATATATATATATATATATATTTTAAATAAGTATATATTATGCAAATACAACATACCTAGTTCTCCCATAGTATGTAATTATTGTCTACAAAATTCTTAAATTTATCCAAGTTCTAATTTTGAAACATTAGAAGTCCTATTGAGATCGTTTGCAAAAAATTCTTCCATAAGTGTTACATTTTATTAGCTTTACCAATCAAGGAACTTATCTGCAATTTTATGGGGTAGTTTCACTGTGTCCCAGGGCTATACCAATTGTTAATAGTGCCCTGTGCAAGATATAAATTATTTACCACTCCTCAAAAAATTCTAATCTATCCTTGCCTTCAAAGATGCAAATTTGTACCCCTCTTGCACTACCCTTGTTACAACCCTGTTGAGTCCTGCTTAACCTTGGGTTTCAGGCATTGTTTGCAGCTATCACATGGAATACAAATACTTCTGCATTTCACTGTTTGTTTTCTGATAAATTATCAGCTGGAGAGAGAATTTACTTTGTGATTGTAAGTTTTAAAACTTTTCAAGAAAGAGTGATTCTGATCTTTGAGGAGAACAGATTCATCTCTTTCCTAAAGGAGCCAAGACTTGTGAAGGTTTTTTCATGTGTTTATACTGTATCAACTTCTACTACTGCTCATGTAAGTTAACTTCCCCTACCCTTTAAGTACATTTTATTTGACCTTGTTTGTGCTATTCAGATTTCATAGCTGTTTTCTTGGTCTTGACTTTTGTTGCAAGTGAAACTAAAGAATGAAGTATCAAATTACTGATCTGACACAGTTACTACTTTTAAGGTATTGATTTATTATGTATTATACATACACTTATGATGGAAAGGGGAGTTTTCTGATTATTTTTTCAATATTTTATTTACATTCTATTTCTTTTATAGTTAAGAAATAGAAATTTGTGAATTATAAATTGCAGACTTGTTCTCAGTGTGACAAGTTGGTGTGTTTCTTAAATATAGGGTGCTGACTATTTGCCAGACACAATATCATTATGTTCCTTTGAAGTTGTCATGCTACTGTCAGTTTTTAATTTTTTTTCACATGCCCTGCAAGCAGCATGGCAACCCCTACCACATATGAATTATATTTTTTATATAATTTATAAGGCACCATGCAATAGGCATTGCTCTCTGTTTATCTCAAATACAAAAAATGTTTGAAATATGTATGTACACTGTGCTGAGATTCTATTACAAATTGTAGTAATAACACATCATGTTACAGGTGCATGTATGTGAAGCTTAAGGCTCATACCAGCAGTGGTGATAGTGTTGAGATCATAAACTTTTATCAAGTATCTGAGTCAAATGAAATAAAAATGGTAAATTATTTGTGTATGATCGAGCGTGAAAATGACATGTGAGGATTATAGTTTCATCACATACAAAAGATGACCCAAGAGCCATTAAATGGAAAACGTGTTTCAGAATAGGCAGGCTATTAACAAATTATATGCCTGTGTATTCTGACCATTGCTGTACTGAAGATACTTGGCAAAAACATTCAAGAGGTGAGCACTTATTTTTTGTTTTCTGGTATTGAATTTTATTTATACATGTTCAATCATGTTGCTTTGTTTTCATAAATTACCATATACTCTTAATAATACAATAAGTAAATATACTTGTAATACACGAATTTCAAAGGTTCGATTGATAGACCTGAAAGATTCCTTTTATTGGAAATTTTATTTTCATGTGATATGTGAATTTCAGCAAACATTAATATATTGCTGTTTTAATATTATAGATGCAGTGATGTCTGTTGTACCATCATTGAAGTAGCTGAAATATTACCTTCAGTAGTCCTCTTCTAAGAAAGATAGCAAAAACTAGAATAGCTAAGAAGGCAAGACAAAAAAGGTGTAATAGGTATTGCAGAAAATATGTTTAATTTTTGAAAGATATTACTAAGGATTAGTTGAGTGGTTTTATGTATTATGGTAATTGGTATAAATATAACTTACTTTTCATGTTGTGTACATGTATTTAATAATATATATTATGCCAAATAAATGGCTGATTTTATTTTATCATAGTATCTTTTATACATGATGTTTAATGTGGAAGAGAGCTTAGGCTTGTTTTATCTCTCCTCAAAAAATTTAACATTGAATTTTTAAATTATTTATATTCAGCATTATTTCACATATGATACAGAAATAAATCATACATGTTTTAAAATTATTTTTACATATTTAGTCTTAGCAGAAAATATTTGTAAGGTCATGAATAAGTACAATTAATATGACTAATACACTCTAAATGTATGCTATATACATTTTACTTATTTTGTTGATTTCTGATTTCAGGAGACATTTCAAAAGGTGATAGATATGTACCTGTAAATGCTGTCACCAGGCATGATGCAAAAATGATGAAATACAAGAAACTGCTGATGAAAACAGTGATTGAGCATAACAGACTGTGTTATTGTCAATGTTTTGTTTCAAGTGGTCTGTACAAAAAGTTTCAAGATAAAACTGCAATTTCTGATAGCTTTCAAATCCGTTTTTGTAAATATTGTGTACTTGTGTTAAAATTAAACAAGATTTTATGTGCATTACACACAAAGTAATGGTGCCCATGAATTTTCTGTTTTTGGTTAAAAAAACAGAAAATTTTGCCTTGAGAGAAAACCTAACAACTTTCAAATATGATTCTGTTTACTCAGACAAAAGAAAACTAGGCATTTAATTAAAAATAAGCTGGCAGTAAGTGTTAGTATATTTTAAACAGTCACTGTAAGCATCATTTCAACACTTGGGTGGCTTAAAACATAAATATACAACAATTCATAACAAAAATATCAGTTGATGGCATGACATTAAATAATGGTTATTTTTATGAAGACAAATAAAATCATATTAGACTACATTCTTGTAGTAAAAATACAACTTGTAAGCAAGAAACAACCCTCTTTTTTTGAGAAAAGCAATTAGTTCAACTGTATGTTGAAAGACTTTGGAAGAATGAAATTATTTTTAATATTATAGGGGGAAAATTATTCTTTATTTTTTTAAAAATTACAAGGTTTTTGCTGCTTCAGTAAATAGTTTTATTCTAAGTTTATCCAACCAAAAATTTGTATGTTGTAATATTTGCCCTTCTTAGTTGTTAACTGCTATTTACCACCACTTTTAGTAATTTTTTGACAAATATATTCTGCTATTCTTTCCAGTGCATGTAAACTTTATTTTGTACAAGATCAAACATAACTATGTTACTTGGAACATAAACTTCAATAACCTTAAATATAATTATTTTAGTATTTTATTTCAATATAATGTATCAAGAATAGTTATCATAATGTGGAATGGTAAAAAGAAATCTGTAATATCATCATCAAACAATTAATCCAGTGGTTAATACTGAATGTTAAATTTGGTGTAATGCCACAATATTATTCACATACCTAAATTAATTTAGGTTACTAAATGATGAGTTAAAAAGACTTGAACACTCCACAAATGTTACTTATCATACTTAACATACATACTCATATAATAAATAAGTTTACCAAAATTTGATTAATTTGCTATTATTACACTGACTGTCAGTTTTGTTTATGTACACCTGTACTTAGTCATTTAAAACTGCTTTTAAATATTGATTTAAATAAATACAACAAAGTACAGAAACATAGTATAAAATCTATATTTTTACAATGATAACCTTCATACGAAATAAAATATTTCTTAATCCTCACTAGGGTACAATACAAGATACATTTTTTTAACCTAAGTGAGACCTGAACATTGCTCTAACCAGATTTTTTTTTTTAGGTAGAGATAGAATAGCTCCATTTGTAAATGGACAGGTTGAGCAATAGCAATATATTTTCCTCGTGTAACAATATTTCTCTTCTAGAATAGGCATTACAATATGAAGATAGGGCAACCAATTTAAAATACAGGGAAGAAATGTACTCTTCGATCCTTATCCTATAAATTTTGATGATTATACTTTTCTTCCAACTAGAATTACTTCCAAGGTAATGACTTATGACAAACTCATTTTTTTTTTTTCAAAGAATATTTCTTCATTGACCTTTATATACTTGGACAGTTTGTTCTTGTAAATTGTACATTGAAATAAAACAAAATCACTTTTTTTTACCTTTTCAAGTAATGTTTTCTAATATAGGCCTTTGAGAAAATTAGACTAGTGAAAATTGTATTTTTCTCCTAATTCTCTATCTGGTTTCCATATTTACATGCACTGGTTTGAAGTTTCCACAGGTAATATTACAATTTTTGCTTTTTTTCCACATAAAATAATAACAATTTATTTGGAAACTCTATGGTAATATATATTTGTCCAATTTTCACTGTGATCTAATGTAGTCTGGTGGCTTAGCGATAGCACTGTTACTAGTTGGTTAAAAGTACCAAAATTTGTGTGAAACCTCCAAACTCTTATTGATTACTTTTAGGTGAGTAGCCTTTTTAGATTTCACCAAGTATCCACAAAGAACATCAAAATCTAAGATGACCAACATCAATGGTCAAAAGGCACAATTAATATCAAAATAAATGATTTTTATGTCAAGGAATCTGATTTTGGACATTATAATGTTCTTAGTACACTTTTAGTATCTCTAGAACAGGTAGAGGCAAATCAACAATCTAGGTTTACTAAAAACGTTGTTAATAAGCTTTT